TTAATCAAAAGCTGGGGGCTGGGGATATAGCTCAGTTGATAGAGTACTTGCCTCACATGTGCAAGGCCCTGTGTTCAATACCCAGCACCACAAAAAAAAAGCAAAAAAAAAAAAAAGCTGAAAGGTCAGACATCCTTCGTATGCCTTTTAGCTTCTGAGTGTGCAAGCCATCCTGGGAAATGGAGAACTTTCCTTCAGATCAGGACAGACTCTTCATTTGTACTTGCAGCCAGCAGATGGTACTCTCATCATTGGCATCATCCTTATATACAAAGAATACACTGATACCTTTCTTCATTGTTTTATTAATAACTGGGCCAAAAATAATTTAGGCAACTTTTTACATACTAGTCGCTATTAGAGCATACAATCCAAAGAGCTTTTTGTTAAAACAAAAATGGCCTAAATTGAATTAAGTACACCCACTCACATTTAAACTGCTTGATGGAAAAAAATTTGAAAAATTTTGGCTAGGATGATAAAATGGAAGTTTTCTTTTGTTTATTGATCTTTAGGGTGTAAGTTTTGGACTTGGTCACATGTACATGTTTAAACCAGAAGTACTTCCTGGCCAGTGATATGTAGGGGAATTCATTGGCCCCCCCAACTCAGTGCTGGCTATTCTTAGGACTAGACCACATAGAATGGTAGTAGATTCCTTACATGGTATAGCCAAAGTAAATCCAGGAAATGTATTTTCTAATAAGGGATTTATTATTATTATTTTATTTACTATTTCTAATAATAAGGGATTTATTCCTTGACATCTTCTAAAACTGCATCTACAACTGAAATTTAGTGATTTCTTAAAAAATTATTTGTAACATTTTTAAATTTGTGTATATTTGTAAATATATACATACACATTACACATAACATTCACACCCTTGTTTATATTCTAAGTAGTCAGACTTCTTTGAGCAAATCTATTGAGGACCCATGGTTCAGTTTGTAAAACAAAACAAAACAAAAAGGCAAATGGAGTCAAAAAAATTTGAATCTCAGTTAATTGGTCATTGTAGTTGCTAAATGTTGACTTTTTGTTTTAGACATGCCTTGTATCAGGTATTTGGTATGATTAATATATTTTGGTTTTTTTTCCCCTTTAAGAGAGAGATTCAGAAACTCTATGAAAACAAGTCATTTCTTTTCCTGGGTTGTGGCTGGACTGTGGATGACACTACTTTCCAGGCCCTCTTCCTAGAAGCCGTCAAGCATAAATCTGACTTAGAACATTTCATGCTGGTTCGGAGAGGAGATGTAGATGAGTTCAAGAAACTTCGAGAAAACATGCTCGACAAAGGAATTAAGGTCATCTCCTATGGAAATGACTATGCTGATCTTCCAGAATATTTCAAGCGACTGACATCTGAGATCGCCACGAGGGGTAGATCAGGTAAGAAGCATTTTGAGACTAAGAGGAGTCTAAGAGTAATAGCCCTTTGGCCTTCTATGTGTTTATGATGGGTAAAATCATTATCAGGATACAGAATGCAGTATCTGATCATACTTCAAAGGGAGGTCAGTCTCCAAGTTAGACTTAAATGCCATTTAGGTAATAGGAACGTGGACAAAAGGCATACTCTAGCAATTCAGTATAAATGTAGGAGGAACAAGAAACATGTAAAAATGTTCAGCCTTACTAGTTCTCAATAAAATGCAATTAAAATTTAGATTTCAAGGGCTAGGGTCGTAGCTCAGTGGTTAAGAGTGCTCGCCTATCATGTGCGGGATCCTGGGTTTGATCCTCAGCACCACATAAAAATAAATAAATAAAAAAAAGGTATTGTTTCTAAAAAATATATTTTAAAAAAAGAATTTAGATTTTAAAACTGAGAAGGATTACTCAGTTTTGGCTAAGGATATGGGGAAAGAAATTTTTTCTTGAAGTGTTTGTATAGTGTTTGGTGGTGAAAGGAAGGTAAAGTTTGTTGTTTTTTGGTTTTTTTTTTTTTGTGGTACTGGAGATTATGTATTTCTGATTATTTTCTTCTATGTGTTGTTTTTTAACCTAGAACCTCAGTACTCTTACTGCTGTGCAAATTGCCAGCCCCCACCCCCACCCCCCTTTTTTTTTTTTTTCATTTTAATTTGAGGCAAGGTCTCATTAAGTTGTCTAGGATGGCCTCAAACTTGGAATCCTCCTGCCTTAGCCTCTAGCACAGCTTTTATGAAAATGAATGTAATGTGTATAAAAAATGCAAAAATCTTTGATCCTAAGAAAATAATCGAATAATTGCACCATCACATGTACATGTGAGAATGTAATATATGTTGTATATGCAACGGCAAAAAATTGGAAAACACCAAAGTGTCCTGTCCTCATGAGTCATTAGGAAACTCTCTATATAGATACCCCAACATTTATTTAATTGATGAAATACAATGAAGCCATAAAAGAGAAAAATGAAATTCTGCTAAGGTGATGTCAGACAATTAGTAGAGGGGAAAACAGCAGGTATAATTACCACTTTATCAGTCCCATTCATGGAAAATTGTAGGTGTATTGTGTGTTTGTGTGTGTATGTAGGAATATCTAGAATGGTCTTTTGGTGTTTAATTAAATGGTCATTTTCATGAGTTTTTTGTTTTTGTGTTAGCATTTTCTATTGCGACTATGATTTTAAACAGCCTGGAACCACTATATGACCCAGCTATCCACTCCTCAGTATTTATCCTTAAGAATTAGTCGTCATACTACACTGATACATGTATATACATATTTATAGCAGCACAGTTCAATATCGCCAAACTATGGAACCAACCTAGGTGTCCCATTAACAGATGAGTAGATAAATACTGCTATATTGCCTTCCAAGATGGGTTCCCATACCAATTTTTACATTTCAGTGCCGTGTATATATATTATGTATTTCTGATTATTTTCTTCTATGTGTTGTTTTTTAATTTTTCCTAAGCTGGGCACAGTGGCACACATGTAATCCTAGCTACTCAGGAGACTTGAGGCAGGAAGGTTTAAAGTTGAAGGCCAGCCTGGGCAATTTAGTGAAAAAGTAAAAAGTAAAAAGGACTAGGGATGTGACCCAGTGATAGAGTGCTCCAGGGTTTAACCCCCAGTACTTCAAATAAATAAATAAGCAAGCAAACTAACTTTCTTAAACCATTTTCTATCCCAGTGCTGTCCAGTAGAATTTCCTGCCATCATAGCGTAGAGTCTTCATTGTGCAGTGCCAGTGCCATAAGCCACAGACAGTTATTGAACACTTGAAATGTAGCTGTTGAGGAAGAGAATTTTTAATTTATTTGGACACTAAATAACTGTATGTGGCTAAATGTTACCATACCAGGCAATGACAATACAGATCTAACCCGTTCTCTGTTGTGGGGAATAATTGGCTACTTTTTTACTCTTGTACTAGGTTGAATTTTTTTACTCACATGCTCCCCATCATTTATCAGACAGAATTTTGCCTAAATTTGTTTTTTTTTTTTTAAAAAAAATACTTAGGCAAAGTCTCTATGTAAATGTTTCATTTACAAGCAGTTTGGTGCAGTAAGGAAATTCATTGCTTGTTTAATGCAACAGCCTGAAGACCAACCCAACTTATTCTCCTATCTCATCTTCTGTTGCATTTTTAAATGCCATATTTTTTAGTCATATGTGTACCCTTAGCTCCCTTTAGTTGTTTTTCTCTCCCCAGTTTCCACTTGTGGTACCAGGGATTGAATCCACGAGTGATGTTTTCACTGACCTACATCCCAGTCCTTTTTATTTTTGACACAGGGGCTCCCTAAATTGACAAGGCTGACCTGGAACTTGTGATCCTCCGCCTCAGCCTTCCGAATAGCTGGGATTACAGGTGTGCACCACCACGCCCAACCTTTTAGTTTCCTTTTTGCTATTAATAGTTTTAGCATTTCAGTCTAGTCTGACACTTATTACTCTTTAGCAGGAATGGTGAGAGAAGGCCAGCTAAATGGCTCATCTGCAGCACACAGTGAAATAAGAGGTATGCTATTTCCCATTTGTCACACTGTCAGAAAAGTTTCCTAAAACTTAAGACTGGAGAATGATTTACCTCTCCACTAGAATACCATTCCCTATCTATCTAGTCTATTATAAGATTCCTAGACTCTCTAGGTCTTGCCTTTAAGAAATATCAGTGAAATATCTGCCGCTTTCCACCTGTTTTGTGAAACTTCATTTCATTCTTTTTCTTTCTTCACAGGTTGTAGTACATGAGCGAGCTAGAGAAATCACCACCAAGCTGTAAGGCCCTAGTGTGGACAGTGTCTAATAAGCAAATTTAGAAGAACTCAACACAGCTCCCAGAAGCACCAATACCCAGAGGTTGAAATTTGGGGCAGAATAGCAGGGGGAGATGTTCCAACTTTTCCTTTATGCTGGCTGGTTCATGACATTCTGCTACCTGTTCCAGTTCAAGAACACCTGAATAACAATGGGACCCAAATGCAGCCCCCTCACTATGCCCACCCAAGGCTGGACATGCTTGTGTCCACACAGCAGACCAATGTTGATACCTCCACTGACTGTGGCTATAGCCCTGCATGAAGGACTTGGGGAGCTAGAAGTCATGGAGTCAATGGGGCTCTTGTTGCAGTTTTGTACTCTATTGGTTTTTCAACTAAGCTTAATGGCTTTTTTAAAACATGACTTGAAGTTCTAGTTTTCTAGATCTTTTACAGTGTACAGTATTTTACTTACTGAGCTGTATTAAAAGCTTGTTCATTTACTTGCCAGGGCCCTGGCTCTACTTTGACAGTCGTAGAACTCTCTTAACTTGCACCAAGGTACTATAAGAAGCCTAATTTTTATAACATAACTTAAATTTTAAAAGTTCTGTTCTTTCACCTTGGGGTGGGGTGATATATTCCTAGGACGACACCTTACTTACCTGATTCCTAGGAGCAGCCTCAGCTCCTGCTTTATTGCCCTTCTTGCTGTAAGTCCCAGAACTAGATAGTGTGATTTGGGATTTTAGTTTGGAATCCTATATAAAAAACTTTAAGACCTAAGAGCCAGTTTATTTATGAAATTTATTTTCTTATATAAATTATGTATTTCTCTGGGCAGACAGCCTTCACCTTATTGCACTAATAGCACATCTGTAATACCAAGCTACAGGACAAGTCTTGACAAGAGGTTTGTTTTCTTCAACGTAGCACTTGTCTACCAGGCACTGTAGAAGACAGGGATGAAAAAGAAGCCAGGACCTGCTCAGGAGGTGAAGGGTTGGGCTGGGCAGGGGGCAACGGATACCCTTCTGATAATTGGTTTTCTCCCAGGAAGGGGAACATGCAAGGCTTACATACGGATTCCAGGACTAGGGGAAGAGTCAGAAGGCTGAGAAGCCCAATGCAACACTGCAGCTCAGTTCCCTGTGTTTGGGGGAAGCAGGGACTCACCTTTCACTCATTTTTGTAACAAATCACTCTGGCCAAGCTGATGCTTTGGAGAAAATACAGTATAGGGGTCATCAGATTTTGAATTAGCAGCAATTAAGAACAGGCCACATACTGCCACAGTGAAGTGGATGTCATCCTGGCACCAGGGACCTGAAAGCTGTGTATCCTAGGAGAAGGTGCTGTTTAAGACCCAAAGCTGGCTCTAGAAGAGTCTCTTAACCTAATGGAGCTGGGACCTCAAACTGCTCCTTAGGCTCAGATGGCTCTATGACCATACTAGTTCACAAAGTTCTTATGTTGGGTCTTCCAACCATTGGTCAAAGCTGTAATGAGACTGAGTCTATAGGCAGAGTGAAGGGGATGCCTGAGTAGGAAGAGGGAGGCTCAAGGGGGGAAAGGGAAGGTCAGTGGGCAGTGACTGAAACATGATTAGGTCCTCCTTGCAGATGGAGGCTAGGCTGACAAGGGAGTGGGGTTGGAAGGAGCTGCAAGCTCCTAGAGCTCCCTCACTCTGCCTTTGTACTATACTGAAGACAAGTTGCTCACATACTCTAAAGCACATTCTTGATAACAGGAGTAGGGGTTTGTGGGGGAAAGCGGCAATTTGGTATTAGGCAAGAGCCACATTAAGCCTTCATGAGGGCAGCCACCACAGCCTTGGCATTGAGACTGCGGAGATCACAGTAGGTCTGGCCAGTGCCCACAAAGACGATGGGTTTGCTTGTGATGTATGTCATAGAAATAGCAGCTCCCACCTGAGGAGAAAGGGAACAGCCAATCAACTCAAGTCCCCTTTTCACTCACCCTTAGTAACAAAGCTTTTTTTAACATCCTTAAGGCCTCAGCTCCCTTGTGAAGGAAGTCCATTCCTCCCTCCTTTCTCACTGTCATGTTTTTTTCACACTTACCTTGTCATCAATGGTGTCAAATTTGGTAAGGACAATGCCATCAATGAGCCGAGGTGTTTGAGCCATAGAATGGTCAGCCAGGGCTCTATTGAATTTGACCTGCAAAGGGAAAATATGATAGAAGTATAAGAAGCATCTGATTTGCCAAAGTTTAAGTTGTAAAGGGAACTAGGCCCAAGCCCTCACCAGCTGGTCCACGGCTTCATTGCCTACTAAGGCCTCCCCCACAAACAGCACCAAGTCAGGCGTATTGACAGTAATGAGTTTGGCCAGGGCAGTCATCAGGGGAGCATTGTCTTGCATGCGGCCAGCCGTGTCCACCAGTACCACATCAAAGCCTTGGTTACGTGCTAGAGAAAGAAAAAGTGGTCAACTCAAACACTTGTCAGTCGTGCTTCTGCCAACTTCCTCCCAAGAATTCATAGTCTGGCTGTTAAGACCTGTTTACTTACTCAGGCTCTGGATTCAGTTACAAGGTAATGTGAGGAACATGTCCATGCTTGGCCACCACCAAAAACATTTAAAGAAAGGACAGCAATCGGATAAAAGTGAGCAAATTCAGGTTTCTTTGGTTAGGATGTATGAGCTCTATCTCCAACTATACACTTTACCCTAAAGTAAAGCACCACAAGTAACTAATTCTGACTTTTCTGTTACTCAGCAGTGAAGTCTGTAATAGCAGAAGGTTGATCCTCTGGGCAAATTCCAAGAGTGCCCAAGGATAAAAGAACCCCCAACAAGCCCACACTTTCTGTGTACTTTACCAAAGGCAATGGCTTCCATGGCAATGCCGGCAGCATCCTTGCCATAGCCCTTTTCAAACAACTGCACCATTGTGCGGCCACCATGGTTTTCTGGGGGATGTAGGGCAGTCAGACGCCGGGTATGTGTTCTCAGCTGCTCCACAGCCCCAGCACGAAATGTGTCACAGGCAGCAATGAGAACACTGAAGCCATTCTCTAACAGCCAGAAGGATATCTGTGCAAAAGAGTTAAGAAACCTGTCACCTAGAACATGGTTCTAAAACAGTAAAGAAGTTATCAATGACAGCCTGCACTGACCTTGGCAAGATTAGTAGACTTCCCCACTCCATTAACACCACAGAAGGTGACAACATAAGGGCGCTGGCGACGCTGGGCATCCATGATATCCCGGAGCATGTCTACTCGACGCTGCGGCTGCAGAATCTGCACCAGGGACTCCTGTAGAGCTTGCTTGACTGTGGAAGTCACCGCTGAAAAGGAAGCAGTAGGGAACTCAGCCATGAGACCCAAAGAATGTACTAAAAAATGCCCAACACCTTTCTGAGCTAGCAGACCATAAACTAGGATCTAGTCATAGAATTTCAATCTATGCTGGTCTAAGCACTTTGTAAGTATCAACTCATTTACCTTCCTAAAAACTCCAGGCTATATAATAAAGTTTAGAAGACAAGGAATTTGCCAAGTCATAAGAATGGAGGTCTGTGTGTTTAACATCTCAGTAAGCACAGGCACATTTTAACATGAAAATACTTACTGCTGAATGTCCCCATCACCTTCCCTTCTAACTTGTTGGCAACAGATTCACAGAGCTGGACGGCAATGTCTGCAGCCACATTCTTAGCTGCAAAGAGATGGGGACAGGTGTGAGTTCTGTGTCAACAGTGATTGATCCTTGTGGCACCACTTAGAAACTATTCTGCTTCCTGCCAGCTCTACTCCATGAATGAATCAGTCCAGACCTCAGAACTTACCAATGAGATGATCACGCATCTTGTCCAGCACAGATTCCATGTCTTCACGACTCAAGCTCTTGGAACCCACAAGGCCCTTCAGCATCCCAAACATGCCACCCAGAGTTCCCTTGGTAGCACTGCAGGCACAAGAGATCAAATACACATAAAGCCGCAGGCAGAAGTTATGGTCTATTAGTTGTGCAGCCAAATATACCTCTCCCCACCTGAAATCCCCCTACCTAGGTTTGGTGGAGTTTTGAGCGGCCCCTTCATCATCTGAGCTGCTGCAATCCAGGTCCTGAAGCTGCCCCCCAGGCCCAGTCCCTCGAATCTGGAGGATGTGGGGAAAGGAAGGAGGTGGGATCAGGAACACTACAGGCTCTGAGGGATAAGAGCCGAGGGTTTACCCTATCCACACTGCTATCTCCAATCTGGGGAGGCTCCAAATATAATTCATCCCCTCACTCAAATTCAAATATTGCCTTCCTAGTCTCTTGCTTCTTCCTAATTTCTAATTAATGGTGAACTTCATGTGGGCCCGTTTTCCCTTACCAAGTTGATGTCCTCAGACAGGGCAGCCTCTGGAGTTCCATTGGTGGTAGGAGTGCTATAATCCAAGACTTCCTTGTTAGCACAGCCACCTAGTTCCCACACCCGGGGGGCTTTTTTGCCCTTCTCTTTGGGAGCATCTGACTTCATGGACTTGCTGCAAAGGGTATTGGAACAAAGGGTTATGGTGGAGAAACAAGAAAACATAAGCTAGAGACACAAGCTCCCTTGCCCCAATGTCCATGTATTTAGAACTAGTGCGAGTCAGAATGCTCACCTGGATTTGTCCATACCCCTCCCATGCTTCTGAATGAACTCTTCTCTCTTCCTGCGTATCAGCTCCTCTTTAGAAAGTTCTACTCCATTTTCGGCCCCCACTGAGAGACCTGACTTTTCTGCAGGGGCTGCTTTGCTGGTAGCCAACGGGCCATCAGAACCTGTTGGGAGAAGTCTCATTGGAGATTTAAAAAAAAAAAAGAAAAGACCAAATCCCACCCAAATAGACAAAGTCTTCCAAATCCTTAAGAGGACATTTGGACCAGACATCTTGGGAATCATCAGGGGATATATTGAGTGTCTGGGAGGCAAAGAAAAAAGAAAGGAACACCTCAGTCCTTAGTGCCACGTTAGACACCTTTCATGTCTCAGTGTGTCCAAGGGGCTTAAAATTACCTTCCTTCTTGGTCCCCTTTTTTTTGCTGTTCTTTGCTTTTTCCTTGGGCTTTTCCCCCCGTGTTTCAATCATGGATCTTACAGGTTTCTTAGCCTTTTCAGAATCTTCATATTTCTTCATCGTAGTGGGAGCGCGGATCTTACTGCTCTCCTCCGCTTCACTAAAGAGAGAAGAATGGTTGATCTTTCTACTTCATGGAGAAGGAAAATAAAACCCAGAGAGAAGACATCATACCAAAAATCAAAACTAGGTAGCAAATTATAAGTGGCTTTTAACACACAATTTACTACCCTTGAAACACTGTCAGGATGGGACTCATCAAAGCAAAGAAGCTGATTTTGGACAAAGGAGGCCTCTCACCGAAGAAGCCGCAGGAAGTCATTTTGGAAATCAAAAGTGCCATTCAATAGACTTAAAGCACTTTGCTGTTGGATCTCTGTGCGGTACTTGTCTCGAAACAGCCGGTGCACATCATCTATCAATTTGTCTACATACGTCAGTGTTAGAATCTTCTGAAAACCAACCTGTTTAGAGGAGAAAACAGAGCCCACAGATCTGCTTACATGCCAGACCAGAATGGAGGGAAGCCAACCCAACCCAAGCCTCCAGAGATAGGCTCAGCTACCTGGCAGGTTTCCCTATCTTGAGAGGCAGCCAAGCTCACTGTCTGGTCCAGACGTTGCTTCCTTTCCCCTTTTCACTTTCCTAGTTTTCTTAGTTCATCACATACACTGGGTACAATTAATCAGAGTTCTCTTTCATAATCAGGACTATGTTCAAAATATAATCATTGTCTCTCTAAAATATCCCCACTTACCACAAACACCAGCTCAAACTGGTTGTCCAGTTTATACTTGAGTGTGAGGGCTTCATGGGTGAAGGAGTTGTTACCTCCCCGCTCCTAGAAAAAGAGTATGTCTCAGGGTTCAGGCTATCCCCACAGAACACAGACTTGGTCACCTACAAGATTACCTTTGGAAAAGAATGAGACGTCCCCGCAAAGTCAAACCTATCCTGAGGGCAAGAGGATGCTGGGGCATTTCCAGAATCCCAACAGTGAGAAAGAGTTGAGAGGGGAGGCAAGACACGTGGAAACCAGAAGGGAAATCTATAAACAATCAGATCTACTAACAGCTGTGCACCATTTACAGTTTATTAAAGGTATACACACTCATCCATAATTTCACCCAGCCTCCAAATAACAGAAAACCAAGGTGCTACTGGTGAGCGGAGAGAGCGGATGTAAGTCCTAAGAGGAGCCAGAATCCGGCTTAGAGTCCCATTATTGGAGGCGGGGGTTGTCGCAAAGTTGCGAGGCAGTCTGAAGGGGCGGTAGAGAGTCCGGGTGACCCGTGAGTGGCCAGTTTAGGGTGGGCGGCAGGGAGTAGGGGGAGGGAGGCGGGGAATGAACAGTTGAAGGGAGACCATAGATGGGGTCAGTGAGAAAGAGACCAGAGTTCTGATCCCGCGGGGGTGGTACCTGCAGCAGCACGGAACGAATCAACGCGTTTACGGGCCCGGTGCATGAGTCGCTCACGCCCTGGAAGCACCAGAGCACGAGCCCGCCCTTGGAGAAAATGGTGAAGAAGTCGAGCATGGCGGCAGCTGGAGAGGAGCTGGGGCCGGCACCGGGAACTCGGCCGCTATCGCCGCCGCTTCCTGCTGCGCCAAACGCGGGACACGTCACACCAGCGGTCCCGGAAACCGGCTTAATGCACTTCCGTTTTGAGAGTCCGGGTTTCCTCCCTGTGTCCTCCTGAGGACGCGTACGACTGACATATAAGCAAGACAGGCCAATGGCGGGTTGGGACGGGCATAGGCGGGGCTCCTGGGGTGGTCACGGGGAGGTGGCTGCCTATAACGTGGAGGGGTGGGGCCTGGGAGGACTGCTGGCCAATGGGCGCGCTGTTCTGAATGCCCGTCGGCGCAGGGCTCTGACCACGCCGATGGTAGCGGTGGTAAAGCTTTTACTAGTGCTGGGCCATGTTCCGGAGCGTGCTGCAGCTCCGTTCCGGCCCGGGCCTCTTGATTCGGGGACTAGGCTCTACTCTGGGTAAAGTTGAAGAGGGTATTGTGGTTCTGGGGTACTTCCGGCTATGTGACCTTCAGGGCCGGGACCCGGGCCCACACTGGCAGAACAGTGGGTCAGCTTGGGGAGGAGAGCTTGCCTGTCAGAGTTTGTAGGACCCAGGCAGGTGTGTGGATCCCAAGGCAGACCTTCTTGAGTGACAGATCCTCTGTAAATGGCGGTTTACTGGTGGTGATGGATGTCCAGGATAAGGTGCCACTTAAAGGTACCATGCTTTAAAGAATGCTGCAACGTGGGTGTACCAGGACCTCTTCTGTGGACCTAGAATATGCTAGTGGAGATGTCAGTGAATTTGAATATCTGAGTCTGGAGGGAGAGAAGTCTGTATAGGAGATAAATATATGTGAGTCACCTTGCCTATGCGGACAGAGTAGAAAGTGTTCATTTTAGGAAATTGAATCCTGCAGTGCTGGACATGATACATGAAAAGGGAGACAGACTGTTGGTATATAGATCATACAGCCAGCAAAGCAGTGAGTGAGAGTTGTCCTCATGAGAAGGGATAAAAGTGGGGACTGCCAACACAAGTGCCTATGTATTCCCACCTTTTTCTGTGCCTGTCCTCCAAATCCCCACCACGTGAAGGAAACAAATGGCCCTCTAACCACAACTATGTCCCACAGACTGGGATGAAAAGGTGTCTGAGATTAAGAAGAAGATCCGGTCCATCCTGCCTGGAGAGGCCTGTACTCCACTGTATGACACTAGCCACCTGCCCCCCGAACACTCAGATGTGGTGATCGTGGGAGGCGGAGTGCTTGGTTTGTCTGTAGCCTTTTGGCTGAAGAAGCTGCAAAAGAAAGGAGATGGCATTCGAGTACTGGTGGTGGAACGAGACCACACGGTGAGGTCTGGAGTCGGGCAGAGTCTTGAGTGGGACAAGGAGGATGATGCATTTTAAGGACTCTAGAGGAAACACTTCAATCTTTGGAGGTCCCAAAGACAGGGACTGTGCTTTGGACTTTTGACCTTTATGAGAAAGAAATAATCCCAGATTCTTCTGCAAACCAGGAGCATTGCATAAAGTTTTTGGCTTTGAAAAGATATTCTACAATGTTGGATCTTTCTGGATCTCAAAGGCCTGGCCAAAAGAGCCTGCATTCAAGCTATTGTTAATGCAAACAGCTATCTTAATGTTCTTTTAGGTTCCATTACTTAGTTTTTTTCATTTAGTTATTTCTATTTGCCATTGCCAGCTAACTGCAAGTCTTTGTACTTTGGCCACATCCTTGTGTTTTCTAATAGTCAAATATTAATCTCCTGACCTTGGATTTCCAGGTAGTTACCATTTGGTCCACTGTGTGGAACCCTTTGTAGATGAACAGCCCTCTCTGCTCTTCTCATTTGCCCATAGCAATTTTATATTTATCTTTGAGTTGGTGGTTGGCTTGCATATGGGTTCACCCACCCCTACACCTCTTAGGTTATATATTTACAAATAGGATTTTCCTTTAACTTTAGGTCTGGAACTCTAAACTTGCATTGCAGTATTCCATTCACATACTAATGTACCTCAACTTTTCTTGTCTTTCCACAGTATTCAAAGGCCTCCACAGTGCTTTCTGTAGGCGGTATTCGTCAGCAGTTCTCATTGCCTGAGAATGTCCAGCTCTCCCTCTTTTCAGTCGACTTTCTACGGAACATCAATGTGTGTGCTATGAGATTTGAGGGGTTGGGTGGTGATCCCAGAAGGAGGAGCAGCCCATCTAGCAATGGGATACAGGGAGCAGAAATGATTCAAACAACTAGGAGTCGGAACCCTTGCTTTTCTTCCCAGTATGGGTGCCTAAAGGAGACCATCTTTCTGGTTTGGGTGCTAGGAACTGTGAGAAGGCCAGGAATACTCTTTTCTTTAAGTCAGCCTCTTTGAGCACCTTTTCTTTCACTAGGAGTACCTGGCTGTGGTGGATTCCCCTCCCGTGGACCTCCAGTTCAACCCCTCAGGCTATCTCTTGCTGGCTTCAGAAAAGGGTGCTTCGACCTTGGAAAACAGGGTGAAAATGCAGAGGTGGGTGCTTAGCACATCCCTTGCTGCTTCTCAACCTCATATTTGTGGTGAGTTCTTAACCAAGTTAAGAACTGGGAAGCTGGAGTTGATGGCCCAGGTGCCTACTCTCTAGGAGATCAGTTTGTCAGGAAAGGTGAACTCATGCACATCCTGGATACCCAGTGCTAACAGTTGTCATGCAGATATGGAAAGAACACTACAGTGGTTCTTGCATTTGCCAGATCATAAGAATGACCTAGGACATGTCTCAGACCTAATAAACTAGATTCTAGGGAGGGTCTGGGAATCTGAGTTTTTAAACAGGAACCCTAAGTTAGAGGTCAGCCAACATTTTCTTTCTGTGAAGTGGGGTGGGGGTACTGGAGATTGAACTCAGAGGCACTCAACCACTGAGCCACATCCCCAGCCCTATTTGTATTTTATTTACAGACAGGGTCTTACTGAGTTGCTTAGTGCCTCGCCATTGCTATCTTCCTGTCTTAGCCTCCCTAGCTGCTGGGGTTACAGGCATGCACCACCGCAGCCAGCTAGCAAACATTTTTTTTTTTTTTTTTTTAGAGAGATAATTTTTAATATTTATTTTTTAGTTTTTGGCGGACACAACATCTTTGTTTGTATGTGGTGCTGAGGATCGAAACCGGGCCACACGCACGCCAGGCAAGCGTGCTACCGCTTGAGCCACATCCCCAGCCCTAGCAAACATTTTTTGTAAAGGGCCAGCAAGTAAATATTTTAGGCTTTGCCAGCCATTTTATCTCTATTGCAGCCACTCGGCTCTGCCATAAAAGTTGCCATAGATAAAAATATAAATGATTCAGTGTGCCTCATTTAGAAAAAGAAGCAACAGGTCATATTTAGCAGCCTCTACCCTAAGTGAATTTCAGAATCAGTCAAGGGTGGGAATCTTTGTGATACATAATGAATGGAGGCTTTCTTTAATAAAACCTCTACAAGTCTAACTAGTGACAGGTAATCTCCTAAATGCTTTGCTAGTATTAACTCATTTAATCATCAGAAAATCCTTGTTTCACATGAGGGGAAATTGAGGCACAAGGACTTAATAAATGGTGGCACTGGGATTTGACTAAAACCAGGCACTTTGGCTCATGAGTTTTCTTTAGCACCTACATTCTCCTGCCTTTGGAGAACAGGGTCCCAGACAAGATACTTGTGCTGATGGATAGGATTATATTACGTGGTGGAGAGGGAGGCTGTCCTGGGAGGAGTGGAGGTAACAAAATTCCCCACTGTGTCATGAAAATACATGGAATGGGTAGGAAATGAGAAGAAATAAGTATATTAAAAGAAAATGAAGGAGTAGGGAAGGAAAGAGGGTCTAGATACTGAGGGACCTTGACTAGGAAGCTGGGTCTTTGCCCATTCAGCAGTGAGGAAAAATCAGGGCATTTAGGACAGGGAAGTGACATGAATGAGCTGGACTCCCTGCTTGTAGAGTTGAGGTTCATACTTGCTTCTTTCACACACTCACTCTTAATACATGTATGCAGACCTATACATTTTTCTCAGGCAGGAAGGGGCCAAAGTTTGTCTGATGTCTCCTGAGCAGCTTCAGAACAAGTTTCCCTGGATGAACACGAAGGGAGTGGCCCTGGCATCTTATGGTGAGGTTTGCCTGTAGAAGGGACAGTTTTTTCCCTGAAGATGGCGGTTTGGGGGCTTAGTATGCCAGGGCCATAATGAAGGAGAACTGTTTTCCTTCTTGGCAATGAGGTCTGCCCCAAGCCATGCTGTTTTTCTGCCCTTTAGCAGGATTGGACTCTGATTCAGTTGGTCAAGATGACCTTCCCTGGCTTCCCAGTCCTAGAAAAATACTAGGGGTGGGGTTGACTACGAAATATACTCTTGAGAAGAGAGTCCTAATCCCTCTTTGTGGGTGCTCTTTTTCTTATCTCAGGGATGGAGGGTGAAGGTTGGTTTGACCCCTGGTCTCTGCTTCAGGGGCTTCGGCGGAAGGTCCAGTCCATGGGAGTCCTTTTCTGCCAGGGAGAGGTGACACGTGAGTCCATGGCCCCATTCCCTCTGCTTTTGTCTATCACCCAGAGTATGGTCTACACTGGGGCCCATCTTCTCACAGGTTAAGCAAGGCTCAGTGCAGGAGACCTTCTCCCTGAGGGCTAGGGATAGATAACCTGACCTTACCCCTCACTAGACTGCTTTGTGACTTCCAACCTGTTTCACAATTCCAGCACTGTTCTGTTATGTGTGTAGCCAAGTTGTCCTGGCTACCTGATTTCTGTTCACTTCAGTGTCTAGAAAAGCACCCATCATTCTAGCTTTCTTTCCTTAGGAACCAGGGAAGCTGGGTGTGGTAGCGCACCTTGTAATCCCGTTCATTGACTCAGGAGGCTGAAGCAGGAGGATCTCAAGTTTGAAGGCATCCTGGGCAACTTAGTGAAACCCTGTCTCAACATAAAAAATAAAAAGTTGGGGATATAGCTTAGTGGTAGAGCACCCCTGGGTTCAATCCCCAGTTCTACAAAAAAAGAAAAATAGAAACCAGTGGAAACCCCATTCCCTACCCCTAACCTACCTCAAGGACTTTTTTACTAGGGGTGCAGCATGGATAGTGCTAGAGACTGAAGCAGGGCGTCTCTCATGCTAAGCACGTGCTGTGCTGT